TTTGTGAAATAATATACAAAAACTGCTTATTTGCTTATATTTTCTTAAAAATATCCAGAATAAAAGGTAAATATAATAAAAATCACCAAAAAATAACAGGAAAAACCTACATAAATATTTAGAAAAAAAAATATTAAAATGGATCGATATAAGATTTCTGGACCCCAAAAAAATTAGCGTCATTTTTAGCCTTCGGGTCATTTTGACCCGTGAGGGACACTTGTTATAGGTTCGGGGGGTTAAATATGAAGAGGTCGAGCAACAGATTAATGAGTTACTCCAAATTCCACAAAAAGCTTATGGACGTAATTAAAATACAAATCAGACATTGAAGTGTTGCTGTTTTTGTTACTCTTCTGAGGAAGATTCATTTACTTGTTTTGGTAATGTACCCACACAGAGAACATTTTGGTCAGATTTTTTAATGTTCATCCACTCTTATTTTGCAAGTGACTTTTCTTTCTTTTTTAAAGATGTTTTTTTTGGATTGTTTGACAACTCAAAAGAGAATATAGGAAAATATAACTTAATTTGTGTTTCCTTCTAGCTAAATTTCACATATATAAACAAAAACCTTTGTCTAAATGTCTATTTTTTTTTTTTAATTCAAAGTTGATCTAGACAAGTACATAGAAACTATCCAAAGTTCTGTTAATCCTAAAGCAGCAAAAACTTCATCTGTGTTCATCCTATGCATCCTCTTAATCACAGATTAACCATAGTTTTGCTACTCTAACCATATTTTAACCATGGTTTTTGTAGTAAAACTGTGGTTATACCAAAAAACATGGTTACTACAATTTTACTATAATAAAACCATATTTAATTTTCTGAAGGGATTTGTGTTTGTGTATATTTTGTTTCTTTGTTTTTTCTTTGTTTTGTTTTTATGACTGTACTGCATTAAAGGGTTAGTTAAAAAATGAAAATTCTGTCATTAATTACTCACCCTCATGTCGTTCTAAACCCGTAAGACCCCCGTTCATCTTTGGAACACAAATTAAGATATTTTTGATGAATTCTGAGAGCTCTCTGACCCTCCCATAGACAGCAATGTATTTACCACGATCAAGGTCCAGAAACGTAGCAAGGAAATCTGTAAAATAATCCATGTGACATCAGGGGTTCAACCGTAATTTTACGAAGCTACGAGAATACTTTTTGTATGCAAAGAAAACAAAAATAATGACTTTATTCAACAATTCGTCCTCAACTCTGGAAGACTCTATATGCTAATGTTTGGACTTGTTGATATGAATGTGTGGCTCACAGTATGTCTTTAATACACATGGCTCACTGAAATGAATCAGTCTCTGTGGTCCCTCAATCTTTATGTAGCATCAAAAAGTTAGGTGTTACAACACGACCCGATTGGAGCGTTCCGAAACAGTGAATCATTTTGCGATGCAGTGGTTTAATTGATTCGGAGTTTCGAAAAGCTCCGTTTCACCCATCTACGTGCTTTTTAAAATCATTTTTAAAATCATTACAAGCGATATGTCAAAATTCGAAAATGAATGGCTTGTTTGATCTGGTTTTTGCTAGTGAATTGTGTGAACTGAGTGATCGAAGTCACGAGTTTGAACGGTTCCAGCGTAAATAACTCGATCAGTTGATCCGGTTTGTCTGTTCAGTTCAATTCAGGTGAGGTAACTGGTTCACTGCTAACTAGTGAAACACTCCATTAAAGGTGGGGTAAGCGATTTCTGGTAGCCAATGTTGATTACTTCTTGCCTTATTGCCTTCATTTGTTCCGCAGACGTTTTCCTCTTTTGTTTTTTTTATCTGCCATCTCTATCTTTCTGTCACTCGGCTCGGACTGAACGCTCTCTCCTCCACATCATGAGTAGACACGCCCCTTACTGCTGATTGGCTACAAGTTTGTTTTGCTATTTGGCCCGAATCAGTTTTCTAAAGCGTTTTTGAAAAATCGCTTACCCCACCTTTAATAAGACGAGCTGCAGCTCGAAATGTTAGATGGAAGCATTGTGCATTATGATGAATTATGATAGTTGTTGGGAGCAGAGGTATCCGAGTCTTCAGATATTTTTTTTTAAATGGTCTGTTGAAAGTTGAATTTTTAAACTTTAAAGTGTTGCTATAAATACTCTTTGTGTTCTCCTTAGATATTACTTTTGGAGAAGATATTGCATGCCCTGAATTTATTTCTTAATTTATTCCTTAGATTTTCTTTAATTGTTCTTAATAGGTCTTTTCATTTTTTTTAAAGACATGTATGAATTTAGCTTTATAAATGTATATTTTTATATTTATGTACAGATAACCCTGTCATTGGCTCAGAGTTCAGAAGCGATGTATGTAATTGCAGGTGCATGTAATTTTTCTTAATTTTGACATGTTAAGGTGTCGTCTGACCGGTGCCCTGGCCACAGCGTGTGGTGATGACGGAGTCCGTGTGTTCAGAGAAGACCCCACTGCTGACCCAGAGCAGCCCGTCTTCTTCATGTCAGCCCATGTGCCCAAAGCCCACGGTCAGGACATCAACTGCGTGTCCTGGAACCCGAAGGAGGCGGGACTGCTGGCCACCTGCAGTGACAACGGAGAGTTTGCCATCTGGAAGTACAACTCTGATTCCTGAGCTGGTGAATGACACTCGATCAGACAGAAGCACTGAATGAATTTCAACTGCTCAAAGTGACATCATGGGTCATAATGAGGAACAATAGCTGTTTTTATTCTGGCTGTGAGTGAGGAAACTGTGTGTATTGGCAGCACTGGTGAAGTGGATTGAAAGACAATATACTCTTTAACTCACATCACTCTTTGTTTTTGATTGGATATCAGAATTGTTTTTGACAGTATGGATATATTTTAGCTGTATCTGTGGCTTAAAATACCTTCAGTGCTTTAATTAAATAAAGATAAAACATCCTAATTTTTCTTTTTATCATGTCTCAGAACCATCCGTTTAGATTGATATTAAACATATTCAAAGTCTGTGTAGTGAATTCATCTATAATAGTTGTGTTAAAGTAATGTTCCACTTTTATTAGACCTTTGTCAGGTAAATATTGACTTTTTGACAGGAATGAAAGCAAGCCTGTGACTAGGGATGTAACGGTATGACAATTTCATATCACGATTATAGTGACCAAAGTTATCACGATTATCAATATTATCACGGTTTTGTTAAAATTAGATGAAAATGTTCAAAAAGAACTGATTCACACTGAAAACATTTCAATAAGTTTTATATTTGAAAATCAACAAACAACAAATACAATTAGCAGCTAGATGTACTTTTTTTTTGCATAAACATTAAATTAACATTAACATGAAGCCCTAATAATAATAATGATAATAATAATAAATCACTTATATATATATATATATACACAATATATACAGTGTATATATATATATACATTCCTAATGTCACTACAAAATAAAAATAAAAAATAAATGAACAAAAATAAAATATAAAAAATAATGTGTACTTATCAAAAGTCACTTAGGGAACAGACAGCCTCGATTAAATTGCCTTCAGGACTCTTGTAAAAGCCAAAATACGACCAGACCACCGATTTGGTTCTCTTAGATGGCTGAAAAATCTCCCGAGCGCTGTCACTGCCTTCCGCCATTTCGTCTAGTGCAAAAAAAACAAACAACAACATTGCATGCTGCTTCTGCGTCAGACTAATGCTGACTGGACAGGATTTACCGTGAGTTTTCAAAATCGCGATAATCAAATACGGTTTTGATGATAATTACATTTTAAACGATAATACTAACCGTCAGGGCATTTTATCGTGATTTATCGTGAAACCGGTAATCGTTCCATCCCAACCTGTGACAGATAGAAGTATAGTGCGTTTAGTGGATTGAACTGTTGTTTAACAACATGCTGATTCTGGGGGGAAAAAACTTTCAGTAAACAAAAACTCGAGAGGACCTTCATGCAGTGTGTGCCATTGTAAAGACTGTCTGTCTTTCACAGCCTCATTTTCAACTGTTAAATGAAATATGGAATCTAACCTGACTAAGGTGTATACAAGTTAAAACATACCATGATACAATCATAATAGATGTTTATGGGCATTTGAGAATGTTTAAAAGTAGATCTGCCATTTTTTTAAAACTGCTTTTCTGTATAAAAATCTATGTTTGAGCTGTAAAGTTGTTTTAATTGCCCATTTCACAGAGTAATTTCTACTTTTCTGAACTTTGGTTATAAGTTACTGATGAAATATTGGATATTTTAAATGGACAAGGTTCTGTTTTGACAAATTTTTCACAACAAGCTGATGTCTAACAATGTCTTGTGGTTATACTTTCAGTTAAATTGTGTTGAAATTATTTTCTGATGTTACATCACTTGCTCAGCAATGGATCCTCTGCAGTGAATGGGTGCCGTCAGAATGAGAGTCCAAACAGCTGATAAAATCATCACAATAATACACACCACTCCAGTCCATCAGTTAACAGCTTGTGAAGTGAAAAGCTGTGTTTGTAGGAAACAAATCCATCATTCCGGCTAATAATAGGAGTCCTAGCAATAATTTTACTTTCTCCACGACTTTTTCACTGGTGGAAATTTTGTTATGGATTATGGACTCGTATTTTATCCAGAAGCAGTGGTTTAATGTTAAAACACCTTGATGATGGATTTGTTTCTTACAAACACTCACAAGACATTCATTGATGGACTGGAGTGGTGTGGATTACTTGTGGATTATTGTGATGTTTTTATCAGCTGTTTGGACTCTCTTTCTGACGGCACCCATTCACTGCAGAGGATCCATTGGTGAGCAAGTGATGTAATGCTACATTTTTCCAAATCTGTGCCCATTAAGAAACAAACTCATCTACATCTTGGATGATCTGAGGGTTAGCAAGTTTTTAGCAAGTTTCGTTTTTGGGTGAACTATTCTATTAAGTCATATGAACTAATAATGTCATGTTTCATAAAACTATTACAATAATATATGGTTTGAAGTACGAAGCAGGAGGTATATGATAAAAACTCAACCTAAAGTAAATAAAGAACAAGTCTGATGAATTGCAGGATGAACTTTATTGAAATAATTCAAAGTTTTATGCATATAAATGTTACAGAACAAGTGTTGGTCACTGGATTGTGTTTCCTAATATATGAAAAGGGGGATTCAGTATGCCAAACCATTTGTAAAACATCATTTGTCATGTGCAGAGAAACATCAGTGAGGTCCTTATGGAAAAATCAGGTGTGTGTCATCAAATAAATGTTGAGTATACGGTAGTTCAAAAAGAGCACAAAAAACCAAACAGTAGTTGACTTTCTGTGTTCAAGTCAACTGTACATGTGTAATCAGGGTTTTCTGTCTTTTTTGCGCAGGGACTGTCCTTCCCCAGAGAACGCAATGAAGTTACTGATTGTATCATCCTGGAGACAAGAAAATATGATTTTCTTATTATTCAAATAAGAAGAGATTTGCAAAACCTCTACTTAACAGTGTCTCAACTTAAACTGTCACTTAAAGGGATACTCCAGCCCAAAATGAAAATTTAGTCATTAATCACTTACCCCCCATGTCGTTCCAAACCCCTAAAAGCTTTGTTCGTCTTCGGAACACAATTTAAGATATTTTAAATGAAAACCGGGAGGTTTGTGACTGTCCCATTGACTGACAAGTAAATTACACTGTCAAGACCCAGAAAAGTATGAAAGACATCGTCAGAATAGTCCATCTGCCATCAGTGGTTCAACCGTAACGTTATGAAGCGACGAGAATACTTTTTGTACGCGAAGAAAACAAAAATAACGACTTTATTCAACAATTCGTCTCCTCTGTGTCTCTCCGCTTCACCGTAGCGCCATTTTGGAGAATATCCGCTGACCGCAAGCAGCGTACGCTACTCTGTCAGCCGCGCTGCACGGATGCGCTGTTTTCGTTCAAATCAAAGCGTAAATACACATAGAAAATGTATCCTTGTGTCGCGGCTGACACAGAGTAGCGTACGCTGCTTGAGTCCAGCGGATATTCTCCAAAATGGTGATGCGGAGAGACACAGAAGAGACGAATTGTTGAATAAAGTCGTTATTTTTGTTTTCTTCACGTACAAAAAGTATTCTCGTCGCTTCATAAAATTCAGATTGAACCACTGATGGCAGATGGACTATTCTGACGATGTCTTTCATACTTTTCTGGACCTTGACAGTGTTATTTACTTGGCAGTCAATGGGAGAGTCACAAGCCTCCCGGTTTTCATCCAAAATATCTTAAACTGTGTTCCGAAGACGAACAAAGCTTTTACGGGTTTGGAACGATATGGGAGTAAGTGATTAATGGCAAAATTTTCATTTTGGGGTGGAGTATCCCTTTAACAGTGACAATTTACTACATTTGTGAACATAGAAATGTGGATTTGTTTAAACCCTAAATATTATTTGCCCTGTAATTTCACTTACTGTTTCAGTTTTGCGGGGCTGTTGTCTGGAGTTACGGATGAAGGTGATCCTTCCCATTTTGAAATCATAGTTAGGAATTCCTCTGTATAAAATATGTTTTAAAAAAAAGCAATTAAAATGAAAGTTCAACTTAGACTGCGAGAATGAGAGGTGGTTGGTCAGTACCGTTTGATGTCACTGGGATCGAGGGGTGCTGGACTGGGTTCAATGCCTTTTTTCTTCCCATCTAGACGATTTCCAGAACCGGTAAAGGCCTGTGGAGAAAAACAGGAAGGAAAGGCACCAATGTATTAATTGAAGTTGACAAGTCTTAATTTATCAAGGTAACATTTGATTTTAAATATTATATGAAGGTGCACTGCAGTAATGATAATCATTGCTTGACTTACTCTGAAACCGATGTCCATCTCATAGTTACTGGGATCCGTCTCCTCTTCCTACAGCAGAATGGTAAACATGAGCATTAAGAACAACTTGTGTGTGAATTATAATACTGAGCTGTCATGTGATGCAAGGGATTTTTGTTTGTCGGAACATACTGTTGGTTCTTCAGGATGCTGCATGTGTCTCTCTGGTTCTTTGTAACCAAGAGGAGCATCAAAGTCCACCTCGAAGGCAAAAATTGTGTAATTAGAGATACATTGAGGTATTCAGGTAATATAATACAGATTTGATAAAACATAAAATGTATAGCTCCATTCGAACTGGGTCAGTAAGATTTTTATTATTTTTTTTAAGTCTTCTGCTCACCAAGACTGCATTTATTTGATCAAAAAATAGTCAAATCAGTAGTATTGTGAAATATTATTACAATCTGAAATAACCGTTTTCTGTTTGAATATATTTTAAAATGTAATTTATTCCTGTGAAGCAAAGCTGAATTTTCAGCATCATTACTCCAGTCTTCAGTGTCACATGATCTTCAGATATCATTCTAATATGCTGATTTGCTGCTCAAGAAACATTTCTGATTATTATTAATGTTGAAAACTTCAAAAGAACAACATTTGAGATAGAATTCTTTTTAACATTATAAATGTCCTAACGTATCAAATTTGATCATTTTAATGCATCCTTGCTGAATAAAAGTATTAATTTATTTCTTTCAAGTCCTACTGACCCAAAACTTTTGAAAAGAAATGTATATATGACTGTTATTTATTGTGTGCTTATATATTAAATAAGCATCCCTACATTCATATCACACTCAATGATGGACACAGCCTTGTCTGGTTCTGAATTTTCAGCATCATTACTCCAGTCTTCAGTGTCACATGATCTTCAGATATCATTCTAATATGCTGATTTGCTGCTCAAGAAACATTTCTGATTATTATTAATGTTGAAAACTTCAAAAGAACAACATTTGAGATAGAATTCTTTTTAACATTATAAATGTCCTAACGTATCAAATTTGATCATTTTAATGCATCCTTGCTGAATAAAAGTATTAATTTATTTCTTTCAAGTCCTACTGACCCAAAACTTTTGAAAAGAAATGTATATATGACTGTTATTTATTGTGTGCTTATATATTAAATAAGCATCCCTACATTCATATCACACTCAATGATGGACACAGCCTTGTCTGGTTTGGTCTCCATGACACGTAACTCATAAATCTGGAAGACAGAAATTTCTGGTTTAGTGCATCAGGGTTTTTACCACTTGAATCATTATTATACTGATTAACAGACATAATCACCTTTTCATTATAATTGATAGCGATTACGTCTCCTGTGGTCAAACAGGCGAAATTCCTCAAAGCATTTTCTAATCTGAAAACATATTAATATTAAAATTTCAATAAATCAGCACATTCAGATCTAGATATTAGCGGTTATATTGTTCAAAATATTTTGCGTAAAAGGTGTATGTCATTTATATATTTACACAGCTTTGGGATTTGTGATATCCAGGAAGTCTGGACTCTGCGGCTGGAATTTGGAGTATGTGGCCACCATGAGATTCACACTCTCCACCTGCACCAAACCACCCTCCTCCAACAACAAGTTCTGCATCATCTGAGGACAAAAAACATGATCAAAAACAACAATGTGTCAAAGAAAAATGCCAGCAAGATCCAGTACGAGTCTATCTGCTGTATGTGTTATACCCAGTGAGGGAGGTAACAGATGCCTTCATCTGCCACAAACTCCAGAACACCACAGTGTGTCATTCTGTCTGAATTCTTGTTGGTGAGTTTGAACAGCATGGGGTATGTGATGTTAAGTCTGCCTGAAAAACAAACCACATGTGAAATCAATATACGAGAAGTGACTGGAAATACAGATGTTTTCATATTTAATTAAATGCATGAAACTTACTTAGCTGGTCCAAAGCAGACGGGGGCATAATTACTGAGAACACAACATAATATCTGCATTAGTTCAGTGAAATGCAACCCAGAATCTACTAAATAAATTCTTGGTTTCGCGTTGCTTTGCTTTACAGTATTATAGACCATAACATACTCTTTCCTCCTTTCTCCACATCTGAGCGGTCGTTGGGTCCTGCCAGCATGGACACAGAATAACACCGGTACTGAGTGGAGAAACGGTTCTGGAAAACCCGGCCCACATGGGGCTCAAACATGTTGAAGGAGAACTGATGGAGGAAGAGGACAGAAACAGTCAAAACACAAACTTTTAAGATCAATTATTAACAAATGCAGTAATAACTGGTGCATTTCTAATGATATTCTCTTCTTATGCTGAAATGTTTATGTATCAAAAAACTCTTCATGAATACATTTAAATGTCATTTCAATTTTAAACAAACATCCTATCTCCTGATTTCTGCAACAGTGACAGTGCAGCTTTCTATTGCTTTTAGCTTAGCATTAGCTAGCAAGTTCTAATAGCAATAACAATAAAAGGCGTCATGCTAAAAGGCAAATTTAAAGGTAGATTAAAGTCGATTACGCACCATATTAGCGCTTTATCTGACAGCAGAATATCAGCAGCGATGAGAGAATACTGATGGCAACTCGATAACAAACACAGCAGCTCTCCTTTCAGTGGGAAGTGCGTGACGAGTAGTAGGACGTGACGCAACAAAACAACAACGCGTCGTCCCAAGTCGTAGCCAATCACATCTCTTTCCAGCTTCGGTACACGCCCAATATATAAAATTTGTTAAATCCATAAGAAATATAATCATTACAATAACTATTCAATAAATTAGTAAAATATGCTTTTAAAAAATTTAGATTTTTGTTTTTCTATTAGCGTATTTTGTACCATATTTTATTTTGCAAGGCTGTGTATCTGTATCTGATTGGACAGAAGAGCCGCTTGCTGTCGCACGCCATTGGCTAATGTATCCATCTGTCACTCGAAGTCGTTTTTCAATTGGTTGTTTCTGCAAAGGCCGAACTAAATGTAGCAAATTTGGCGCCAGAGACGAAACACTGAAACCTTCAGTTTAAAACAACAAGGACTTTGTCTTAAAACATACGCAGATGTTATAGTTTTTTATATATATATATATATATTTAAACTTTATAAGCTTATATTTTAACATGTTTGTGACCGATATTCGAAAGGAATTTTATGAAGTTGTCGTTAATCAGGTGCGTAATAGTTGTTTTTTGTTTTGTTCGTTTGCTAGAGTCGTTCAAGGCAGAAATGCTGTTGATATTTACTAAATTGATTGATGATTTTTTTTTAAAGTACTATTAATGCTACAATTATTTGCTAATGTTTTAGTGTTATATGTTATGAAGTACATATTAATTTGTAGTATGTTAATGTTGTATATTATGTTACTGCTTGTGTATTACAAGGTACTGTATTGTTGGTTGAAGTTTATAGTACAAACTCTTTACTTACAGTTAAATACATATTCGTAAACTACTTTGACTTTCTTAAACTTGCATGTTTTCTTGTTTTTATAAATCTTTAGAGAGTGGCCCTGTTCGTGTCTCCTGATATTGATGCTTTGTGTGCCTGTAAAGTTCTGCAGGTTAGTCATGTCATAAATTCATATGCTACAGTAACTTTGGCTATGAATGTTACAACATACACACGCATTCAATGCACAAGATGTTACAGGATGCCTACAGCAACATGCACATGTAGAAAAACATCCAAAGGAAACAGTATGATGTAATGGTGCACAGAATGTAGTATGATTATGTGGTGTAGATATTCAGATGTTTATGTAGTACATGTAAGAGATCAAACATGGTTGGTTAGTTGGTTTAGAACCGGGGTCTTCAATCTTTTAGATCTTATGGGCTCCCAAATATGATCATCTATGTGCAAGATGTTACCCCATCATAAAATCTAAAAGGCAGCTATATACATATTCATTTATAAAGACCTAATTAATACGCTGAAAAAATATTATAGCAAATATGTGTAAAATATTATTTGTGAAATATTTAGTGTCTATCATGTTACCTCATTGCGTGATTTTTCTACTCATTATGGTACTATACTGTTTGATGTATTTAATTATTTAATAATATATATATATATTTTTTTTATAAATGTATTTATTGTAATCAATCATTTATTCATTTTGATAAATTTTCCATTTACTTTATTTTTTTTAATAATGTTCTTTTTAGCAGCATCATATGACCCCTTTAAAAATATCTGTATGACATTATAATCTGCAGTTCCCTGTTGTACCGAATATCTATACTTTTCAAATTATCATATCGATGTTAGAAATTCAAATATTGTGACAAAATTAATTTTGTAGGGTGCCACAAGTTTGTTAAAATTTCCAAAGGGTGCCGCGACTAAAAAAAGGTTGGGAAACACTGGTATAAACTATGCAGATACTCTGTTTTAAAACTGACATGCTGTAATATATTTGTTGTATAATTTTGTATTGCCAGAACAATATTTGTAAATATTTTATTTATGAAATATTTGTCAATTATTAATTTACATGAATATTCAATGTATCACTTAGTGCTACTGATTACTACTTGAATAAGCAATATTTTTCTCAATTTGTAACCACTGTATTCTATTTTCAGGCAGCATTGGTGATGTTTGAGCTGGCCTGGGTCATGTCTAAAGACACCAAAGACATGTTGTGGTGAGCGTCTTATTTTATATTACCTATAATAAGTCACAGTAAAAAAAAAAAAAAGCTGAAACAATTTGGTGTAAGATTGGCTTTGAAACGATTTTTAGTGAATTTCACAATGCCAAATTAAAGAATTGAATTAAATGCTAAATTACCTAGAAGGATTGAAATCGTATTTTCTTTTAGAAGTACTCCAATAATCTGTTTGAATAACCATTGTACAGTGTATATTTGTTCTCTGAACTGAAAACTCGCTCTTTGATTGGCAGGTGGAGTGTCATTGGAGTGACAGATCAGTGGGTTCATGATAAAATACCACAGTAAGAATCTCACGCTTATCTCGTTTTGCCAACATTAACCTCTTTGAAACATCTCCGATTTTCTCATGACTTCTGAAGCAAATGTTTCAAGTAACCTTGTTTCTTGTATAGCATGAAATATGTGACAGACATCGCCACCCTACAGCGCCACGTGTCCCGACACAACCATAGAAATGAGGATGAGGAGAACTCGCTGTCCATCGACTGCATGAGGATCACTTTTGAATACGAGTATCCTGCTTCATATGATGATGAATTTGTGGTGTGAATGAGTGTTCAGACGGAAAACCGGTGTACTACTGTTTAAAAACTGCATGCTGCAGTGTTTCATGACCTCATTATGGTGAATTTCAGCGAATATTGCACATCTTGGAAATTATTATTATTGTTATTTTTGCTAATTTTGTGTAAAAATGTCTCACCTTTTGCATAATGGTGTGTTCTGTGCTCTAGCAAGTGAGAGTGTTTCATGCATAAAGATAATGTGCACAATATACATTATGCATGCTGCTGTATATCAAAAATAAGTAGTATGCTATTGTGAACATGCATGCTGATGAGCTGTGTGTGTGTGATTAGTGTGTTTGGCCCTTGACCCCTCATGTCAGTCTGAGGTTGGTGTTATATCAGCACTGGTCTCTGTATGAGAGCATCTGTAACTCCTGTTACACCTCCTGCAGCTTTAAACTCTGGTCCATCAACGGACAGAAGAAACTCCAAGAGTTCCTAGCAGACATGGGGTGAGTGGACTAATCTTATTCTTCTTGCTCTTAATTCGCACAAAAATACTTTGGTTCATGTGTTAATGGTGTGAACAGTTTTGGTGTTTCTGCTAAAGCAAGAAGCTTTGCATTACAGTAATTTTATCACATGTATTGCATATTTTTTCCTGGTTAATCATGGAAACATCTTTCCTGGCCTCCAATAACTTATGATATGAATATGATAAAGATGTTTAATTTATTAAAGCATTAATAGTTTATTGAGCAAGATCATTAAAGTTGATGTGTGCCAATGATTTGTATTAAAGGAATAGTTCATCCTAAAAATTAAAATGTCCTGAAAATTCTCACCCTCAAGCCATCCAAGATGTAGATGAGTTGTTTCTTCATCTGAAAAGTTTTGGAGATATGTAGCATTCCATCACTTGCTCACCAATGGATGCTCTGCAGTGAATGGGTGCCGTCAGAATGAGAGTCCAAACAGCTGATAAAAACAATAATCCACAAGTAATCTACACCACTCCAGTCCATCAACTAATGTCTTGTGAAGTGAAAAACTGTGTTTGTAGGAAACAAATCCATTCTTCCAGCTAAAATAAACGTCCTCCTAGCCTTAATATTGCTTTCTCCAGTGAAAAAGTTGTCTCATCTGAATCAGGAGAGAAATATGCACAGATCAAGCACCATTTACAAGCGAAAACAGTCCAAATCAAATTCTAAACAAATACAGTATATGGGTGGATTTGGATGTGAAAGGACAGCAGGGGATGGACTTTTTCGCTTGTGGAAGTGTTGTTATGGATTATGGAGGTTTAATGTTAAAACACCTTGATGATGGATTTGTTTCTTACGAATACCCACAAGACATTAACTGATGGACTGGAGTGGTGTGGATTATTGTGATGTTTTTATCAGCTGTTTGGACTCTCATTCTGACGGCACCCATTCACTGCAGAGCATCCATTGGTGAACAAGTGATGCAATGCTACATTTCTCCAAATCTGATGAAGAAACAAACTCATCTACATCTTGGATGGCCTGAGGGTGTGCACATTCTCAGGAAGTTTTAATTTTGGGTGAACTATTCCTTTAATGCTCAGTAAAATTTTATTATGGTTGTTTTATAGTTTGGTTCATCCTATCAGATTTTGGGGTTGAAAATATCTTTTTAATAATTGTTTTTCCCCCAGTCTCCCACTCAAGCAGGTGCGACAGAAGTTTAACTCTATGGATATGACAATTAAAGAGAACCTGCGTGAAGTCATCGAGGAATCTGCCAATAAATTCAAGTGAGAGAGAGTCAAATGAAAAGATTGCTCTTGCAGTAGTCAGTATCTGTCATGTTTAATCATTCAAGTTTTTTTTAGTATGAAAGACATCCGTGTGCAGACGTTTGCTGTACACTTTGGCTTTAAGAACCGGTTCCTGGCCAGTGATGTAGTTCACGCTGCGGCCGCCCTGCTGGAGAACGTGGAGAAGGATGAAACCCCAACGGACAACTTCATCAAAGCTCTGGACTGTCTGTCCAGGTATGAAACAGGGTTATTATAGTTACCTAAAACTAGAACCATAAAAAATCATTTTCATTGATTTTGTAAAGTGTCAGTGTGGTTTTTTTAATGTCCGTTTTTACTCAGCAACTCTCTCTTGTTTCTCATCTGTGTCTCTGTAGGAGTAATCTGGAGCGGTTGCATTTAGGCATTGATCTGGCCAAGAAGAAACTGAAGGCCATTCAGCAGACAGTGGCGAGCTGCATCTGCACTAACCTCATACTCTCACAGGGGCCTTTCCTCTATTGTCATTTACTGGAGGTAATCTTCAAGTTTATATTTCTGGAGTGGAGCAATTTTCCATCAAACTCTAAAAACTAGCATGGAAAAGCCCCATAATTGTAGTCTATAGTAAGTACAACACTGTATTTTTAACAGGATTAGCTCCAGTGTTTTCAGTGTCTCACAGCAGTTTGGTTCTGTGTGAATGCTGGTCCATCTCTGCAAGTTTGCACTGAAAACACTGTATGTGCCAACCATCTCACCAAATTTGTAATTAAGATATATATCTGGTGTCAAAACTAAAGCTCTATGGTAAACATTTGAAAGCAGGAAATTAAATACAGCCATGAATACTTGTATTGTCATTTTAATGTTGCTCTGTAAAATAAGATTCTTATTCTTCAATACTCTAGTGCAGTAGTATTATTTCTATAGTCATATTTATTGATTTGTTTTGATATTTATAATTTAATCAAATAAGAAATAACTTATTGTTATTATTAAATACTCTTTTATAGTATAATCGTAATTTCTATAGTATATTTATTGAATTTTGTAATTTTGAAAAACAATAACAAATATTTACGATTATTAAATTTATTACAATGAATATTATTATTATTACTTGTCAACTCTGCCCAATGCTCATGTTTTCCACAAAACAAAATAAGATGTTTGTAATCGTATGAGGATGACTAAATGACGACAGTTTTTATTTTGTTGTCATTAATTATTTTATTGGGTTGAAACCAAGTTGTTTTTTCTGTTTGTAGGGAACACCAGATGTGAAGCTGTTTTCTAAACCTCTGGCTCTGACTCTCCTCTGCAAATACCTGCTCAAAGCATTCGTCTGCTCTGTAAGTACAAGTGGGCAAAAATACTGAATGAAAGTAGTAATTTGATGTGTTGTGTCTTTGGAGTTTGTCAGCAATCACACTAAGCTGCTAAGCCAAAAAAAAAATCTTAAAGCTAAGCACGTTAAACACATGGCAGTTCTCATGTGTATGTTGTTGTTAGACGAGGAACAAACGCTGTAAGATCCTTCCATTGATAATGGCGGCTCCTCTGGATGTGGAGAAGGGAACCGTGATCGTCCTGGGAATTCCACCAGAATCAGAAACGTCCGACAAGAAAAAGTGGGTTTGTTTTATATAGAGATGTTACATGCACTCTTTTTCAGCTAATTCGAACTCCAATCATTTTTATTTTCAAGTTTCTTTGGCCGGGCTTTTGAAAAGGCAGCTGAGAGCACCAGCTCCAGAACAATACACGATCATTTCGACACTTCAGGTAAGTCACTGCAGCACAGCATCATGGGTGGTGATCTCACACACAGCATGTCAACCACTAGAGGGCAGAGCAGATCAGAGCTTCTGTGCCGTCTGTCTGCTCTTCTGATCACTGCTGTGTGTGTCAGGAGTTGGCTTTTTTTTTCATTTGCAATGAGAAGAAATTAAGAAAATGAGTAGAAAACAAATACTGTGATGTTGAAAAACTTCAAAACAGTGTTATTTTAGTATAATTGGGATACTTTCATAGTATTTATTAATATTTTTAAATAGTTTTTGTTTTCTATATTTTCTGTTTTCATTTTAATTATAGTTATAGTAATGTATTTTTGTTTAGACTTTTTTTATTAGTTTATTTAGGTATTTTATTTATGGGGGCAGTGGTTCAAAACAAGTTTCTGTGTTCTGTTCCTGAATTTTTTTATTTTTTACATGGAATACAATGTCACACTATAAGACACCAGTGCCAAACTTAATTTCAAAGCCAAATCTTGAATAAATTCTACTAATGTTAAATGGAAAAATGTGTTGAGGAATGACTGTTTTGTCACAGAACAGTTTGCATTAATCGTGCAATATTATAACACTTTAGTTATTTGACATGCACATGAGATGCCGTTATATTCACTCGTTCTGTCAGCATCTCAGTCGATTTTCCCATCATTTCTGTCAGTTTGGTGCCAGATGCCTTCAGCTCTGCTAGGCCCCAAAACACACAAACGTTCACACATGCACACGTGTGCGTTTATCAACATGCCCCAACAGATTATGAATCACTCTCTCTCTCTCTCTCTCTCTCTCTCTCTCTCTCCCCCCTCTCTGCAGTCATAGAGCTAAAGATGGAGGACAGGGGGAAGTTTCTGGATGCCCTCATCACCCTGTTGTCATAAAGGCCCACTGCATGCTGGGAACTGCCCACAGAAACTCTGGACATGTTATATGTGTGTGTTTTGATTCTGCAAAGAGACTCGCATCCACACACACACACACACTGTTGCTCCACAAGGGGAATTTCACAGCCCTTGTGTAAATATGAGATTTAATGTGTTCTCAGTCAGTTTGGTGCCAAATACCTTCACTGACCTTCACCTTGACGTTTATACCATCTGCAGCCCTTCCTGAAGACTTCAGGATCACCTCAGAGATCAGCTGGTGTTTTGGTCGTGTGCTGCCAGACATTCTGTTTGACTGTACAGGCCTGATTTAACTGTTTTGTGTCATGCCATTTAGTATGTATTTGTGTGTGTTATTATATGAATTCAAATAAATGATTTTTATAATATTTTGAATGTGAAGTATTTAATTTGACTTGCAATTCAATGAGGGTTTCACTTTTTTTTTCTTTGTATGATTGTTTTATTATTATTATTATTTGTATAAAAAAAATAAAAATAATCTATAATTTATTGAAGAAATGTTTCTAAAATAAATTTTAAAAGATCATAGGCCTGGTGATGTGTGCTGAATAAAATATTAGTTTAAGGCAAACTTTTTTAAGTTTAAGACAAAAAAAATTCTTAAGATTAACATGCACTTAATATTATGGTAATTAATATGGACGACAACCTATTTTAGTCAGAAGCAACGATTTTAAGTTAAAAAGCCTTCATGGATTTGTTTATTAGAAACAAGCAGCTTTTTGCTTCACAAGATGTTATTTAATGGACTGGAATGGTGTGGATTATTGTGATGTTTTTATCAGCTGTTTGGACTCTCATTCTGATGGCACCCATTCACTGCAGAGGATCCATTGGTGAACAAGTGATAGAATGCTACATATCTCCAAATCTGTTCTGATGAAGAAACGAACTCATCTACATATTGGATGACCTGATGGTGAGTACGTTTTAAGTAGATTTTCATTTTTTGGTTAACAATTATTCCTTTAATTACTTTGTTTTGATGACGAAAGTTATACAATACCTTAGGTTTGTGTGACGAACAGGCCACGATTATTTTGATCTGCAAACTTTTCCGGAAAGAAAATCACATTTTTGATTCACTTTCAGTAAATATTTATGAATTAATATCAATCGAACCTTTTCAAAGCTACTTTAATGTCACTTTTTTTACTTTAATAGTATAAATGACAAGACACTTCCAGTGTCCGTGCTGCTGTTTTCCACACGGTCCGCTAAAAATCTCAGTTTTGTTGACTTTTTAAAGTCAAACGGGTTTGGACCGGCATGAGGGTGAGTAAAAGACGCTGAACCAAGATTTTTGGCTGAACTATCGCTTTAAGTTGTCGTCCCTGGCGCTAAGGACAGCACTACCCTTCGTCAGTGAGCTCTGGCAAACCCTCTCCCCTAATGAATGGGTGGATGGGTTTATGTGTCATGGGTTATTGTCAAAGCATGACTCAACTGTTTATCTTTTTCCCGTTTTCTTTTTTTCTCTCGCTCACGTTCTCACATCATGTCCTGTAGTATTACATTCACTCGATTCTTACTGTACTCTGCAATCTGCAAAATGTCATAGCTACTAACTCTAGTAATGTGCAGTAATAATAGTGATGCTGGCCTCGGAGTCGCTGTTTTTTCCACTAAATGCTCTGTTGGAATGTAATGCACTGGTTAGAAATGCACAGAACTAGAAATACATCTCTTTTTTTGTTTAAGATGACACCTACAAGAATGTATTTATGCTGGACACGTGTTATTATCAACAAAAGTGTCTTTCTTTGGTTTTGTGGCATGATGTAGCCGTTCTGTTGTTTTCTTCTCTCATTCTGTTCTTGAACGGTTTGATCTCGTGAGGATTAGCTGCTCTGGATGAACAATAGAAGTCATCTATGTGTGTGTGTGTGTGTGTGTGTGTGTGTGATTCACCATCTCTTTTGGGTGGGCTTCATCCGTTCAGACTTTATAAGAAAATTGTTCTTTTAAGAACTGTTCACTGAAAGGTTCTTTGGGGAACCTAAAATGGCTCTGATAACCCCCATTGGGAACCTTTTTTATTTTTGAGAGTTTAAGAAGCAGGAAGAATCAGCAAAAGCTTCCAAATGCTCTCATTTGAATTTTAAAGCTGTCTTGGAGAAACAGTTGAGATATTAAAGAGATCTCTGGTGATTTTTCTTACAGGTGTGTGTGAGTGATCATGCTCTGAAGAATACCAGAAAAGACGGTCAAACATCCATGAAGAATCCCACAGCAACCAATTAAAATGCTGCCCAACTAAGACAATTTCCTCTGGGTGAGTCAGTGTGTGTGTGTGTGTGTGTGTGTGTGTGTGTCCATGCTCTCTTAAATTAGGGGAATGTTGTTCCTTTTGTTGTAATGAAAAGCTGGAAATCTCAAATCTCTGTTGAAGAAGAAAATCAGACATCTAAAGCAGAATAAAGCCATCTCATATAACCGAGACTGTGTCCATAAGCTGGTGTCGCAGCAGGAGGTCAAACCCTCGTCCAGTTCATTTACTTTCAACCTGTACACATTCCATATTTCATTAAGAACATTCCAGAATCATTCCCAGGCATTCTGGAACCTGCAGGGTTCAGTCACCGCTGCCACTCAGTGTTCCCATCGGAGTGAAAAATCACAAATGAGATTTACTATATTGTTGCTTGTAAACGTTTTTTCTCCTGAGAAAATAACTCCAATACTATCCTGTATCCTTCTAATCGGTATCCTCGAGATCTCAGCAGTGTCTCAAACTGTGCTCAGATTTCGCAAGATCCCAAAGGCTGCTATCAAAATCCGGAAATCTCAATAGGAACTCAAATTTTGCTGTTTAAATTCTTCCAGGAGAAAATTATCCGAGCAGCTCTTCACATTGTAGTATTTTTTTAAGTTTATAGTTGCTTTATGTTTTCATTTCAAATTAAGTTTGAGTATGTAAAGAAAAAAGTAATTGCAAATTTTTATCTCACAATTCAGATTTGTTTTCCTCGCAAGTTTACATCTCGCAATTCAGTTTTTTGTTTCCACCATGGAATAAAAAGTAAAATAATTGCACATTTTTTTATCTCATAATTCTGACTTTTTTCCTCAGATTTGCGAATTTAATAAAGTTTGAATGTTACAATTCTAAGAAAAAAATAGAATTGAATTCTGAATATTGAGAATTTTTGAGTTTACATCTCAATCATCACGAGCTTATATCCTGCAATTCTGAAATTTTGACTTCTTTTTTTTTCAGAATTGCAAGGAAAAAAATTGTGAGAGAAAAAGTCACAATTACCTTGTTTGTTTTTTAATCTGTGCTGGGAAACAGGCTTCAATATTTTTTTTTAGTTAGATGCCAAGAAAACATTTCTAATTTCTGTTTGCATTTTTTTATTGAATTTTAAACTAATATTTATAGTTTATTTTATTTCAGCTTTATTTCAATAACTGAAAACAACTAATAGTTTTAGTTAAAGGGGTCATATGATGCGATTTTCAATTTTTCCTTTCTCTTTGGAGTGTTACAAGCTCTTGGTGCATAAAGAAGATCTGTAAAGTTGCAAAGACTAAAGTCTCAAATCCGAACAGATATTCATTATAAAAGTTATAATGTGTTTTTTGAACCTTAAACCGCATAAACACATTTCATTACACCAAATACACAAAATAATGTTCTTTTTAGCAACGTCATATGACCCTTTTAACAATAACACCACTGACAACTATTGACTCATCTGTGTTTTTTATTTCTCTTAAGAAATTGTAATAACTAATTGTACATCTCTGGATTTTAATGACATAATAAGTGCAAACTAATCAGCACTGGTCACCTGAGACGCAGGTTAATAATATCAGATGTAAACAGGACCTGAGACGACATTAATACTTACTTAAACCGAAACTGAGCCACTTCTGTGAAAATAAAACGTCCTTATTCTTGCACAGGACCTAATGACTTGTCGCACGTTTCCGTGCTTCATTTTTCCTTGATTATGATGACACTCCCCTGTTTAACGCATAATTAGGCACTCAAACACACACATCATCATGCCCCTCCTCATTAACTTCCTTCCTGCTTCCTGTCCAGCTGACCCTTGAACAGGAAGTCTGATGACTCTGTTGGACTATAACAGTTTGGCATTATAATCGACCTCACATGAACACACACAAACATTCCTAAACATATTCTTATGTATTTGGTGAAATCACAAGCGTTAAAAGATGCTCGAGGTTATTTTTACCCTATTAAAAAGTTAAAAGGCTGTCCCATACACTACCATTTAAAAGAAATTAATACTTTTATTCAGCAAGGATGCATTAAATGACAGTAAAAACATTTATAATGTTACAAAAGATTCCTATTTTTAAAAAACATGCTGTTCTTTTGGACTTTCTATTCATCAAAGGGTCCTCAACATTGATAATAATAATATTTTTTGTTTCTTGAGCAGCAAATCCTCATATTACGATTTCTGAAGGATCATGTGACACTGAAGACTGGAGTAATGATGATGAAAATTCAGCTTTGCATCACAGGAATAAATTGTATTTTTTTTTGTATTGCAATAATTTTATTTTTCACAATATTACTGTTTTTACTGGATTTTTGATCATAAAAAGCAGCCTTGGGGAGCAGAAGAGACTACTTTCAAAAACGTTTGACTGGTAGTCAGCAGGTCAAGATTGATTGCATGATTTCTCCTCTCATCTCACGAGGTATAGATGGCAGTTTGTCAGCTGATCATTTGATTGACAGCGGGAGTGTGGACGGTGACTAATCCGTCTTAGAGAGTGAGTCAGAGAGAGAGCTTGTTCACGACGGACCGTCACCGTGGCGATGGTGAGGTTGATGACATCACAACCGGTCCGTTATGGGAAGCTGTAAATGACACCTGACCTTTGGAGAGCAGAGGTCAGCGCAGGCGTCATGAGAACCTGTCGTGTGACAGAAAGAAAGGCGTGAACATGAGTGTGTGTTTAAACCAGGGATGTCAAACTCAGTTCCTGAAGGGCCACAGCCCTGCAGAGTTTAGCTCCAACCCTAATTAAACACACCTGATCCAGCTAATCACGTCCTTCAGCTTAATTTGAAAACTACATGGTTTGTGTGTTGGAGCAGGGTTGGAACTAAACTCTGCAGGGCTGCGGCCCTCCAGGAACTGAGTTTGACACCCCTGGTTTAAACCGTCACGTGGCAGATGCATTAAAGAAATGTTTCTGGTTACAAATATCTTAAAGGGGTCATATGATGTTGCTAAAAAGAACATTATTTGGTGTATTTGGTGTAATGCAATGTGTTTATGCGGTTTAAGGTTCAAAAAACACATTATTTTCCACATACTGTACATTATTGTTTCTCCTCTATGCCCCGCCTTTCTGAAACGCGTCGATTTTTACAAAGCTCA